ATGTCACAGTGGAAACTGAGCTGCACAAAGACACAAAGACTGCATTAGAGATAACAAATTTTGACCAAGCTGGGCCCAGGAAAGAACAGGAACGATCAACACAGGAATTATAAAGGTTCTAGTGTTTTGATGGCTGAAAAGATGTTGGGTATCGTGATTCATAGTTCTGTACTAAGCTTCAATAATCAGACTGATAGGGAACAGATTAAAATTTAGGCCCAGTGTTGTAATGTATTGGCTGGTTCTTGAAAAACTGAGTGGTTTCTCTTGGCATTATCGTCAATGGAAACATAGAGTGATCTGCATCTTTTGGGAGGAGTTCAGAATCTTGTATGTCCTTTTACTTCAAAAAAATAGAAGGCTGTGAATCATGTAAGGCAAGGGACAGGCCTTGAAAATGTGTGAGCATTGTATTGGAATGATAGCATCTGGTCACTTTAAATTTTCTACATCTTTTGAAGATAATTAATGCCCTTCCAATTCATCCGTTTCTCCCTGTCATCCTGCAGTTTACAATATTTTAAATGTTTTATCAGCAAGCTAATGTTTACTGATTAACCTACTGCTCATCTGCTTCTTTCTGGTTCATTACATATTGGGATGAAATAACAAAATACTTCAAGTAGTTTAACAATGTAGCCATGGTTAAATTAGACTGAGATTTCAGTGACCTTTCCTGTTTGTCATCTGACAGGATAAAGGTCTAGGAATGTTCAGATGATGAGCTGGATGTGGATGAAAAGGCACAGATCGAGTGTGTCAGAGTTTCCATTTGGAAAACAGGAGATCTGCTGCCAAATATAAAGACACTAAGAAACTATTCACTTTATTTTCACCCTCACTCACTGCAATGAAAAGGGCTTTTTTGTCCACAGCATTTAGGAACTGTGTGAAGGATAACCAAGAAATGATGTAGGATGAATGGGAAACAGGGAAGGTCAGCAGACACAGTATCTGGCAAGATTAGGGTTACAGGCTTCACACTGCAAGGCCCTGAGCTTTTAAACACTGGTTATTTTGAAATGGGAGGGCTTGGTTTGTTAAAATATGCAGAAAAGTATTGAATGAGTCTGGTTATTTCTTTAAGCAGTGATGGTTAGTAAATTATATACAAAGCAAGAAGTGACAGTGGGGATGAGAAGCTGAAGGACCAAATCCTAAACTGCTGTTATTAAGCACCTATAGCTACCTTGAATTAATGGAGCTAGGCCAATTTACAGCAAGTGAGGATCTGTCCTCAAAGTGTAGCTGTGATGCTTATGTGATCTACTATCCTTCCACTGAATAATTTAACTTTTACTGAAAGGTAGTATTGAGGAAGTCTGCAACTCAATGCAGAATTCTCCGTGCTAGAGAAATTTTCAGTCAGATTTTGGCTGACTGTGAAATCTTGCAGACAGGCTCTCTAACTTAGTAAGGAAGGCTATAAACTAGGTTTGCCGAGGGATGGAGACCAAAGTCCTGAGGTAGGTGGGGAAGCGGGAGACCTGAAGGAAGAGCAAGCAGGAGGGGGCAACGGGGGAGGTGTTCGCATTCTTTCTGAGAAATCAGGGCAATCGACTAGTTACCTCAGGTGCCTGTATATGAATGCACAGAGCCTGGGAAAAAAAGCAGGAAGAATAGGAATTCCTTGCACAGTCCAGAACTATGATGTTATTGGAATAACAGAGATTTGGTGGGATAGCTTGAATGGCTGGAACACTGTCATGGATGGGTACAAACTGTTCAGGAAACATAGGCAGGAGAGAAGAGGAGGATGAGTTGCACTTTTGTACAAGAGCCATATGATTGCTCAGACTTCCAGTATGAAACTGGAGAAAGGACTGCTGAAAGTCTCTGGGTTAGGGTCAGAGGAGAGAAACAAGGGTGATGTTGTGATGGGTGTCTGCTATAGACCGCCAGACTAGGAGAAAGTGGTGGATGAGTCTTTCTTAATCACAAACCCTCATTCACATGGGGGACTTCAGTCACCCTGACATCTGCTGGGAGGGCAATACAGGAGTGTGAAGGGAATCCAGGAAGTTTTTCAAGAGTGTTGTTTGGGACAACTTCCTGGTGCAAGTCCTAGAGAGGCCAACTAAGGGCTGTGCTCTTCTTGACCTGCTGCTCACAAGCAGGAAAAAATTTGTGGGGAATGTAGTAGTGGATGGCAACTTGGGCAGCAGTGACCATGAGATGATTCAGTTCAGGATCCTGAGGAAAGGAAGGATGGACAGCAGAAGAAATGGATCATGAACATAAAAAAAGCAGACTTCGAGTCGCTCAGAGAACTGATGGCCAGGATCCCCTGTGAAGTCAGTCTGAAGTAGAGAAGAGTCCAGGAGAGCTAACGGTACTGTCAAGAAGCCTTACTGAGAGTGCAGGAACAAACCATCCCAATGCGCAGGAAGACTAGCAAGTATGGAAGAAGACCAGCTTGGCTTAGCAGGGAACTCTTCAGTAAACTAAATCACAAAAAGGAAGCTTATAAGAAGTGCAAACATAGTGCCCATATTTAAGAAAGGTAAAAAGGAGGATCCAGGGAACTACAGACCTCACCTCAGTCCCTGGAAAAACCATGAAGAAGATCCTCAGGAAATCCATTTCTAAGCACTTGGAGGAGAAGAAGGTGATTAGGAACAGTCAGCATGGATTCACCAGGGGCAAATCATGCCTGACGAACCTGAATGCCGTTTATGATGAGATGACTGGCTCTGTGGCTGTGGGGAAATCAGTAGATGTGATATACTTAGTTTTTAGCAAGGCTTTTGATATGGTCTTCCAGAACATTCTTGCCGGGAAGCTAAGGAAGTCCAGGCTGGATGAATGGATTATAGGGTGGATAGAAAACTGGATGAAGCATCAGGGTAAGAAAGTAGTAATCAATGGCTTGATGTCTAGTTGGCAGCAGCTATCAAGTAGAGTGCCCCAGGGGTTGGTCCTAGGGCCAGTTTTGTTCAATGTCTTCATCAACGACCTGGAAGATGTCACAGAGTGCACCCTCAGCACATTTACAGATGACCCCAAGCTGGGGGGAGTAGTAGATCCACTGGAGGGTAGGGCTAGGATGCAGAGGGACCTAGACAAATTGGAAGACTGGGCCAAAAAAAATCTCTTAAGGTTTAACAAGGACAAGTACAAAGTCCTGCACTTAGGATGGAATAATCCAATGTACCAGTACAGGCTGGGGGCTGATTGACTGGGCAGCAGTTCTGCAGAAAAGGACCTGGGGGTTACAGTGGACAGTAAGCCAAGTATGAGTCAGCAGTGTGTCCTTGTTGCAAAGAAGCCTAATGGCATACTGGGCTGGATCGATAAGAGTGTTGACAGTAAGTCAAGAGAGGTGATTATTCCCCTCTATTCAGCACTGGTAAAGCCACTCTAGTACTATGTTCAGTTTTTGGGCCCCCACTACAGAAAGGATGTAGGCAAATTGGAGAGAGTCCAATGGAGAGCAACAAAAATAGCAAGGGGGCTGGGGAAGATGACCTATGAGGAAAGACTGTGGGCCTGGACTTATTTAGCCTAGTGAAGAAGAGACTGAGGGAAGATTTAATAGCAGCCTTCAACTACCTGAAGGGAGGTTTGAAAGCGGATGGTGTTAGACTCTTCTCAGTGGTGCCACATAACAGAACAAGGAGCAATGGTCTCAAGTTGAAGCAAGGGAAGTTTAAGTTAGATATTAGAATTTTCTCACTAGGAGGATAGTAAAACACTGGAACAGGTTACCCAGACAGGTGATGGAAGTTCCATCCGTAGAGGTTTTTAATACCTGCATCAACAGATCTTTGGCAGGGATAATCTATTGAGGATGGTCCTGCCTTGAGCTTGGACTTGGACTAGATGATCTCCTGAAGTCTGTTCCAACCCTAATTTTCTATGATTCTATGAAATCTCTGTTCTACTGTTGGCCTTTGTAGCTGTTGGCCTCTATCACACGACAAGACCTTTGGAGGGAAGAGGGGAAGCAAGAATCTGTCCTTTCACTCATTCATCAGTATGTTTGGTTTCGTTTAGTTGGTGGGATAGTAATGGTCCTAAACCCAGCTTAAATGCATACTCTGACCCAGAAGTTAATTAAAAATGATTACTGGTGAAACTGAGTGTACATGTGACTACATCAGGTCAAAGACAACATGAAAAACAAAGTGGGGTTCTGAGGGCAAAAGATAAAATAACTGTAACAAGTAGGGATGTGCAAAAAGGGCCCTATTCAATTTGGATTCAGATTTGGCCTGAATTGGGGGACAGTGATTCGATTAGTTGATTTGGATCACTGTCCTGATTTGATTCGGCTGAATCCAGCTCTGAAGATTCGATGAGGATTTGGAGAATCAGTGATTCAGCCATAGACACAGCTTTAAATGTTTTTTCTACATACCTTGAGGTACCGGGCACGGTTCATGAACACCGAGATGGTGGGATGGATGGAGCATGCCACAGGAGAATGGTGGGGCCCCCCATGCTCGGCGGCAGACCCGGAAGTGGACCAGAAGTACTTTGCTGATAGGCCACAGGGGGACCCTGGGTGCCCCGCCAGACCCAGAAGGCACCAGTTGCCAAGCCGGGGGGGGAGGGGTAGAGGGAGAAACCCTCACGCACTCCCCAGTGGACCTGGAAGTGGACTGGAAGTGCTTCTGGTCCACTTCCAGGTCTACCGCTGAGTGTGCTGGGGACCCCCCCACCCTGCACTCCCGTGGGACACTCTATCCGCCCTCAGCATCTCAGCATTCACGAGCTGTCTGGTACCTTGAGGTAGGTACAAAAAATATTCAAAGCTGTGTCTCTGTCCGAATCATTGAATCTCTCCAAATTGATTTGGAGGGTTCTGATTTGATTCGGAGAGATTAAAGGATCTGAATTGATTCAGAGATTCAGCTGCTGAATCGGGCCGAATCTCCACCAAATCAGATCAGCGACCGAAGCTTTGCACAGCCCTAGTAACAAGCCATTGAGTTTTTAAAAAACAAATGAACTTTTTTTGTGTGCTTGTTTTAATGTAAAAACTTTTCCCTGTGCAGGCATGAAGCCAGATTTAAACAACGCATGCTGGAACTAACAGACACAAACAACATTGCCTACTTATTTCTCTCAGCTGCCAATAGATGGCTGGAGGTCAGGACGGTACGTACAGTTTAGTCCTAGCCATGGTTTTGAAACCTTGGAAGCAAACAGAGATTTTGTTTGATGCAATGGAGGAGATAATAGTTAGAATTAATCTTACAATGAGATACAACAGTTTTATGTACACTGTTCCTTAAAATAGCTCGGGATTATTTATATTAAAGCATCAGATTTTTCCAGCTTTCTTGGCTTTGTGTAAGAAAATACAAGATTCCTTCATCTTTTGTGTTGTGATGTCTGTGGTTCTAAAGAGAGTGTAAGAGCAAACATTTATATAACTTGTAGTAAGACTTTCTTCTACTGTGCAATGTCTGAGGCCCTGCCAAAGTGGAAACTATTTTGAAGGCGTTTAGGTGTTTTTACAAATTTCATAATAATTCTATTTATGTCACCCATCATCTCCTGGGACCCAAAATACCTCACAAACAGTGAACTAAATCCTGTAGTCCTCACTCATAGCCTGAGTTTGTTAGTATATTCATCAGAGTCCACAGAGCTATTTGCAAAGTAAATTATGGCTCAGTGAGAAAAAGGTGGAAAAAATTGGACCTCTAAGTGGGGCACACAAGGAGCCTCTTCCCACATGGGTAGTCTGTATAAAGATTAACATAATTATTGCCTTCTTATTCACCAGGCATACAAAAGAGGCCAAGGATTTAAAAAGAGACATGTCTCTGTCCCTTTGCACTTAACACAGAGGATGAGCCTAACCCATGGGTGTCACCAACCAGGGTCCTAGAGGTGGCCGTGATCCCCCTAGTGCCCCCTTACCGTGCCAAGTTTGCTTCCAAGCAAGCACCCTCAAATCTCGCCCGCTATGTCTTGATCTTAAATATTAAAGGGAGGCTGCCTTTTGTCCTCTTGGACACGGGTTTCTCCTGCTGTCACTCATTTTGTTCTTTTAATGGGGTTCCCGTGCACCCTGGCCTTATGGGCGATGCGTGGCTCCAACCGCCCCTTTACCACACCCCAAGCCTCACTGATGTACCGGACATTGTTTGGTCTGTTTTGCTCTCTGCGCCCTTGTCTCACAGCCACACCCCACAGGTGCTCGCCAATCGCTGCTCCCTTGCTCTGGGCTTCTCACGCTGCCGTGGGTCCCCTATGAGGCCTCCTCCAACCCCTAATAGCCTCACCCAAGCCACCGGTCATAAACAGAAAGCTCAAGCTCCTAGGCTATAACATAAATCTTTGCCTATCGGCTACAACAGAATTCTTTCTGCCACAACAGGATTGCTCCATCTTTCCCCAATCTCAGGCCGTACCTGCAGTCTGGCCTCTCCTCTTTACAAAGTTCAGCAGAGCCCCTTCCCCTTTGGCTGCCAGCAGGGAACTGCCTGCCTGGCCTCTGCCTGGGAGTTATACAGGAGCCAGGCCCTGCCCCTTCCCATCAGCTGACTCCCACTGGTTACCCTGGCAACTAGCAGCTGGGCTTCTTACTTACTGATCTACAAGTAGCAGGCACCTCAGTGCCCTGCTACAATGGGTAATATCTGACTTACTTCATCTGAACATCTGAGTCTCTAGGTGGCCTTCTGCCTCCTTATTCTCCAAAAAGGCAGTGAGATTCTGCCCCCACTCTTCTGATGGGCATGATTTAGTTAGAAGTTAGAATCTCAGGACTCAATCCTATATGGTAGCAATGAACTGCAGCCCTGCTAATTTTGTACCCAAGACAAGGAAGACAAAACTAGAAAATGATGCAACCCTTCAACAAGCTGTCATAATTTCTGTTAAAGCCTGCCTTGTACTGGGGATGAATTTGATTAAAACAGTTGGACCACTTCATTAAACTCTTTGGAATAATACACTGTTGCTGAGAAATAGTTTATTTGGTTTTGTCTAATGGTACCTGGGTCCTCATATTGGACACAGCCATGTAGGAAACATGGTCTTGGAAGTGACTGTGCAGCTGTAATTCCAACAGCTTGTAGAGACCCACATACTCTGTCCATCTTTCATCCATCTAGTTATTTTGTTAAGCTATTAATATCTTCACAACAGCACTTCTAGAGACAGATTAATTTGGGAGCATTCATTGCAAATCTCAGCAGAAAAAGATTCTAAGATAAAAATTACCAAAGTGAAGAACAATCGGAATGAAAATGCTAGCTAAAATGCAAAGGGTAAATGCAGGGAGAAATGATAGAATACAGATGTGAATGACCTGATATTAATAAATATTTATGTACCTGATTTGTAGGTGTAGTTAGTCATTCCACATACAATCAATATTAAGCATTTCAAATGTTAAGTCTGTCGAGGTCCCCTGACACTTCTCACTTTTTAGTGTCTGCTAAAAGTTGACCTGGGTTTTTTTGCTTTTGTTGGTAAGGAATTTGGACAGACATGATAGGAGAATGTGTCAGTTCTATATCATTTGTGTGTTGAAAAAGCTTTTTCAAAAAGGAAGTTTGTTTCTGTAACTTGTGGTTTCAAATATCTCAGGTTTTTTGGACTCAACTGAAGATACTTAAGTGGATCTGATTTTCCAAAGCCATTGATCATCCACCCTATGAATATCAAGCTTCTTTGAAATAATTTAACTTTGGCACTCAAAATAACTGGTCTTTTCTGGAAAAAAATCTAGAACTTGATGATTAGTTTGTATAGAAATAAGCGTTGGTAAAAACAAATACTGTTATCATATTATAAACTTTTTATTGTTGCTACTGGACTTTAATCCTTTCAGTTGTCAAGAATCTATCTTTCTTTCTTTTTTAGGATTATCTGGGTGCCTGTATAGTTCTTACTGCAGCCGTTGCTTCCATCAAAGAAGGGCCAAAGTCTGGTTTTGTGGGGCTAGGTCTCCTTTATGCCCTAACGGTACGTACCATAGCAAACCTTAAAACTTTGAGACCAATATACTAGATTAAGGATGATTTAAAAAAATTACCCCCCCCCCCCCACATACACACATGCACATAAGCATGCACACGCACGCAATTATCTTCCAACTTTCATAATCTTGAAAGAAACAATTTTGCAAATAATGGATTCAGGCCAAAGTTGAGCAAGTTCAGGACAACTTGGACTTGCTTCAGGGTTTATGAGCCAATTAAAAAACCACAAAGATTCCCAGGCCCTGTGTGCTCCCAAGGAGAGAAAGAACATTATAAGTGTATACAAGGCTCTTCTGTGCACTCAGCTTTTGCACAAACCAGTGCTACCAAAGCTATGTATGGTGAAACCTGGCTTAAATAACTATCCAACGCACTACCCCAATAAGTGGCATAAGAAACCTGGCATTTATCTGAAGACTAAATAAAAGTATTTTCAGAATACTTGAGCTCACTGAAAAATTAGACATGACACATCCGCATTTTGGGAAATTAGTCAAATGCCAAACCTTGTCTTCAACCCATTTTTAAATGTGAATCCAGATATTAGGGGGCAGGTTTGGGTTTGGGTT